ATGTCTGCATCACTTGTTTCTGGGCATCCCCAGGACTTTTGAGTAACAGTGTATTAATATTTGAGGTGTTGCCAAACATGAGGTACCTTTTGGCAGCTGACCAGCGGTTCACCTTTGCCCTGAAAAATGTTTTGACTTGGGATATTGCTGGTTTCAGAATCACAGTCCATCTTATACTTGGCAAAGCTGAGGTAGTCCAGTCAGCAAGTGACTGCTGCTTTCTGTGAAAACTTGGACTGATAAAAATAGCACATATTTTGACATCAGATTGAATAGTTTCTTGTCATTCAGTGAGAGAAGGTAGTGTTTCTTGAATTCTTAAGTTTTGTTTTTAATGCAGCTTTGGTCCTGAAGAACTCCATGCCATTGACATACAAAACACCATAGCTATATTGGTTTGCAATTATCTTTTTATTCTCATGGACACTCCCACCACCTGATCGAGAATCTTGCTTTCAGAAGTTATTTTTTGGAGGGCTTTCTTGAGTGTGGTCCTCTGGACCATTTTGTACATCTTTATTAATCTTTGTGACCTTTTTGGTTAGCACTTTTTAGGGTTAAATTGTATTTGAGTAGGAGAAAGGTAGCGATGCTTTCAAACTTACCCACCTGAGATTCAGTTCACAGCAGATTGCACAGATGTTGGATGTGATTCTGCCTGCTTTTTGAGTTCTTTGGGCTTAGTCCAAGTCAACCTATGAGCTTTGCTGGACTCAAGACTCTTGATTAGTTTTTTTATTTTTTTTATTTTTTTATTTTTTATTTTTTTCTTTCTTCTCTTTGAAGCTTGCCTTTCCTTGTGGTGGAAGGTGGGGACCTTAGATGGGCTCCTCTAGGCTATTTAGATTTTCTTTGCGGAATAATAACATTATTCTTAAATTGTTTTATGATGCATAAATAGTGCAGATATCTGTTAGCTCATCTGTGCTCATATGTTGTTCCTGGGTTCCCAGGCATCAGCATCCCTACTTTCTATGAGTTGTCAGGATGTCCAGCTGGTTTAGGCCTCCACAAGTTTTCTTTTGAGAGCTGTGACCGATAGGGAAACACAAGGGGCTTGGAATTACTTCTTCAGAGCAGAGTATCAGTGACACATGAGAACTGAGACATGCAGGTCTTTTGCTTTTAACTCTTTCTCTGAGTTCAGAGTCTTACCTAAAGCTTGGCACTTAGTCAGTTTAGGCCTAACCAAACACTTTAGGGAAACCAAACTTATTCCAAGTGCGCTGCCTCTGGGGACTAGGTTTTCAAGCTGTTTTTTGTCTTCCTTGAGATCCAGGGAGTCTTTCTTTTCTTTATCCACAATATTTTTGTTTGCCAGACTCTTCTCATGAATATGCCACGGGGTGGAAGTAGGCTATGAAAGAAAAAAAATGCAGTCATCTTGTAAATGTGGTTGAAGGCTGGCTATCTGAAGCCATTTTCTGCCTTCCTCTCATGTGTAGGGTGAACTCGATACCAGAATTTAATTCTAGCAAATTGCAAAAAAGGAGGTATTTAATACTAAAAAAGCATTAGTCATTTAAGATGCCTGTAGGTAGTATGGTTAACCACTTAAAATGGGCAGATGGCATTAGCCATTTATCAAATCTCATGATATTTACTATTAAAGCCATTTCTTAAGGTGAATTAAGCAGGCTAGCTAATTTGCGTGGAAACAGCCTGGGCGCAGCTGTTTGAACCTTATTGGACTCATTTGCACCTCAGTTGCCTTTGTGTCCAGACTGAGACAGGCTTGAATATATCACATTGTGCCTCCAGGCATGTTGCAGAAATGGGAATGTCAGTGTGATGCCTCTCTCAAGCCCTCTGTCTCCCTTGTGCGTGAGAGCTGCTGCCAGGGGTGAACAGAGAAGCAGCCTTTTATTGTCTGCTGGCTTGAGCACACATTTGCAGCAACTTTGCAGCTTTCTGGCTGTACCTACAGCCTTCATAGCACTATACTTGTGTAGTTCTACAAATGTGCGTCTGTCTATGGCCAGGCTAGCAGCCTAGAAATTGATAGGACGTGATCAGTTTGTGATTTACCAAACAAGCCCACCCTGTGACTTAGACAGATACCTCATCACAAATGCTAACCTGGAAGGTCAACAGTTTGTAGTTCGTTAGAGCTCTGGCAGACATTACGGGCATTTATACACGTACTGCTCTGTCACACCGGAAATGTAGTGACTTGGAGCAGACTCGATTAATCAAGTCTGCAGAGCATGCAAGCTGACGCGCCTGGTGCTGTTGCATGCATTTGTATAAATGGCAAAATGCATGTCTGCACTAAGAAAACAGTGGCAATGCACTTTGGAACTTAAACACCTTTGCGTTTTAGTTCAAAAGTGCACCACTGCCATTTTCTCAGCACGTACGTGCATGTTGCCATTTATACAAATGTATGCAACGTGGTGCTGCATTGCATGCATATGTGCATACACCCTACATTTGTCAATGAAAGTTAGTAGCAGATGAAACACAAATAGAGATATTGAAGGAGAGTGGAGGAATCTTCCCTGGGAGGGGGTGAGGGATGGAGAAAGAGGGTTTTTTTTTTCTGTATTTGGATGTAAACGGTATTTGGGAAGCAGGGGCATAGGCAGAAAAGTGGTAGTTGCAGGGGTGGGAGCTGGAGTGCTCATGCTCTGGTGGGGTGTTTGTGGAATCTACTGCTGCTCCCTATCTGTGGGTTGCTTGTTTGTTGCAAGTGCCTCTGAGCCTTTTGGATGTGGTGGGATATAATCAAATACACAAACAAGCAAACAGCAATTGATAAACTTTGAAGCAGCAACGACTTTGTCATGGAAGCTTTTCTGCCACAAAACTGACGCTTGTGCAGGTCTGAGAGACTTTTCTCCTCCCTGAGTGTGCTCCAGCTCAGAGCTGCAGGGGCTGAGCACAGTTATTTCCTCAGCGCTTTTTTCTGGGATTTCTTGTGTCAGAGTGCCAGAAATGAAAGCAATGAGACTGTCTCCTGCGCCAAGTGATCCCTGTGGTGGTGTCCAAGTAGCTGCAGGAGAAGAAAAAAGCAGCTTGAAGTGAATGCACAGGGACAGCAAGGACAGAAGAGAGAGAACACGGGTAGAAGGGGTCGGAGACCTAGTGGCAAGGACAGAAGAGCCTGCAGAGAGGGCGTGCTTCCTTCCAGTGCTCGAATTAAACCTGCAGGATTCCTGGGGTTCAGAATTTCTCTTCTGTCTAGAACAGTGGTGCTACCTTTTTTGGCTGGTGGGCTAGATGGGCAGTATCCAGGCTATGGGTGAGCCAGATTCAGCTGGTGGTCCTGAGCTGGGAAGGGGCAGTTGCGGCAGGGACCCATCCAGCTGTGTGGAGGGGGACATAGGGCATCCCTGCTCTAACTTAGCCCTGTAAGGGGCAGGGATGGGGTGTGCCCCACTCCCAGCCAGTCCTGCAGGTGGAAGGGGGCTCGAGCCAGCCCCGGCCTGGCCCCAGGAAGCAAAGGAGGTGTGGCCTAGCTCCATCCATCTCAGGGCAGGAGGTGGCCCAGCTCCATCCTGCAAATTCTCAGGGTTTGCGAATTTGGCAGCAGGGGAGGGTGACCATTTTTATTGCTGCTCCCCGGCTGCCAAACTTTCTGATCCATGGGGAGCTCCACAGGCTGGGTAGGCACCTATGGCTCTGCAGGCTAGAGGTTGATCATCCCTCATCTAGAAAGTAGTTGTGATGTATTAACAGGAGCGTCTTATGGAAGACACGGGAGTAATTTTTTCAGTTCTCACCAGCACTTGGGGTAGATTTATACAGTTTTGGTACTGCACTGGAAGAAAGTTTTATGGGCAAACCGGAAAGAATGTACAGGAGAGCAACAAGAGGAAGTTTAGAAAACAATATGGGCGGGAATGTGGATGGAAGTGGGTTGCTTTGTCTAGAAAGGTGACTAAGGAAGGGTTAACTTAAAATATGTGCAAGGTTCTCATAGAGAGGACCATGATATTTTGTTCTCTTTGTTGACTGATGTTGGGAGGGAGAAGAAAGAAATCTGCTTAATTTTCAGCAGAAAAAACATATAGGTTGGATACTAAGGAAGATTTTTTTTCCAGTTATTCGGCAGGGCTGATTAAACATTGGAATAGCTGTGTAGGGACGTTGTAGAATTGTCGTATCTTTAAGAACAGGTCATAAAAAATGCATGTTAAAGGAAACCTAGAGAGAGGTAGTTGCAGTGTTGGTTTGAAGTCAGTTAGCTTAGGAAACCTCAGCATACTTAGTTATATTTCCATGATGGGTGGACTTGGATGACTTTTTGTAATTCCTTGTAGCCCTAGAAGCCTTATATTCCTTGTAGCCCGACTATAGCCCTATGAAGAGAATGGCAGAACCACTATTTCTTTTCTTTGCAGATCTGCTTTAAGTATTTTAGAAGATATGAAAATATCAGCCACGCAGAACTAGTCTGTTCACTAGTTAACAGATTTATCTAGAAATTCAGATTTGCTACTACCAGAATGGCTACTGGTTCTCTGCTATACTTTCTGCATAGCTGAACTGAATTTTATCCCCCATATCTCTTCACTGAGTGACCAGCAGGTGTTTCATGAATTATACTCTGAAAACCTATTCTGTAGCTCAGCTTCTTGTTCATAATTCTTCCAGGCAGGGACTCATTCATTGTCACTGATTGTACTCAGTTTTGTGTTGAAAATTTATAAGTTTTATTAAAATTTGTAACATGCTTTTTATTCATGGTTGTTTACCTATTGGTAAAACTACTTCCAGAAAGTTCTCTGTGACAGTGAATGAAGTTAATGGAAGGGGGAAGAGTATGTACAGGGAATGTATAGGAGAAATTAGAGGTCTGTAATGGAGAAAGGTTACCCTATAGGGCTGTCTTTCTTACACAAGTGATGCTATCAGTAGTATGCCTTCCAGAAGGTGTGGGCTAGTATCTAGCCTAGTTTTCTGTTCTTGGCATGAATTTCTTGATAACAATGCAACTAATATCCTTGGTCTCATGTAGCTATCCATTTTTTTTCCTTTTTCTTTCTTTTTTCCAGAATTTGGTGTTCATTTAGCAGAACTGACGGTAGATCCCCAGGGAGCTCTGGCTATTCGTCAGGTGAGTCTTCCCAAGCGCGCTCTAAATGGTCCTGTAGGATCAGCATGTGGTTTGGGAGTTTCTGTGCATCTTGCAACTGTTTCTATCCTCTTTAGGAAGTTCTGAATGTCTTGGGTCATAACTATTTGTGGATTCCCCTTGATTAAAATCAGCTGCGTGCCTGTTGCTTTTACTAGGTGTGGGTTCTAAAGGCTTGGCAATCATTTACTTTTTTCTTTTTTGATTTAATAGAGCCTGAGATGGCATGGAAGTCTGTCTAGACTAGTGCTTGGCAATAGGTATATTGAATTGTAGCACCTGATCTTGGAAGTCCCTTTCCTTGTTTGTGCCCTTGCGACAAGGTATCGTAGCAGAATTCACAGATTTGTTGGAATCTGGTAGGGCCACACCATGAGCACTTCTACTGTAGCCTCAAACTTGCAAACTCTGGGCTGTGAAATGTCCATGTAGCACCTGTGCTATCCCAGTCCCCTATCTTGGAAGTTAAGCATGCTAAATTTGTCAGTGTTCTCCATTGCAATGGCTCACTTATTGAGACGTCATTATTGTGGAGTTTGTTTGGTTGTGTACAGTGAAAATCGGCAGTGTTTTTCAACACACGCACTCTCGCACACTGCTTTATACTTTATCATCTTTAGGTTTGTGGAAGCAACAGCTTTTTAGAGCCTCTTGGGATTAGAACACTGGGCTAAGCCACTGAAATTCTTGAGCCTTTTTAGTATAATGCTTATTTTGCAGATTGAGGAGGGAAGAAGGATGGTGGAAGGTTTAGGAATTAAGGTGGATAAAGATGGCATCAAACAGTTCTCTGTGTAGTGTCCCTTGGGCTGTCGGAGCACAGCAAATGTGGCTATAGATTCCACTTTTCACTGCATTGTAGGTTTATGTCTTTCACTTATCCCAGAGGGATAAGTCTGGAATACTTGAACAGTCCTGCAGCTATTGCCTTCTGTTTGTTTCATGTCCTTTCTTTCTTCTTACAGCTAGCATCTGTCATTTTAAAACAATATGTGGAAACTCACTGGTGTTCCCACTCAGACAAGTTTAGGCCTCCAGAAACTACAGAAAGGGTAAGACTAATTTTTTAATACCAAAGTGATTTTATGATGTTTGGCTGTCTGTCATTGATATACTTTTATCACTGAAACTAGGTTTTGTATTTCACAGTGCATAGGTTGACCCCAGTTTTTTTTCGATGCAGAAAGTCAGGATTTTGATAGGCATGGTGTATAAGTCGACCCACAGTTTATTCAGAGTTAAGAACAAATGGTAATTGGCATGATTAGCGCAATCAGCACTGGTTGCCATGGGTTACATAGGATTAGCAATCAGTACAGGTCAGGGGCCATCAATCAAACAATTGCTGCCACGCATTGCTAATCAGCAGCGATTACTACTGGCTATTAGCAGCAGTCACAAAACGTTTAAAAACCCTTCATTTAAAAATCTCTCATTTAATAATAATAATTCCTCATAATACTAACAGTTAAAAATCCCTCATTTAATTAATTTAGACTATTAAACAGTTTCTCCCAAACTGAATGGTTAGAAATCTGATCATCATATGGAAGGGGGAATTGAATGTTTTGGTGTTGTCTTCCTCTGTTTGATCTTCTTTGCACCACAGAATATCCTCCTCCTCGCCATCCTTGAATAACTGATCCTGCATTTTTTGAATGAACGTGAAATGGTTTCAGACTTAATGCCCCTCCAAGCTGTAATAATCCACTGGCATGCAGTTTTTAAGGAGGCTGCTCTCATGTTTCCAGCTTTTGTATGTGAATGTTGGCCACTCATCATCCAGGTCTGCCACTCGATGTGAACGTGGTCTTTGAATGGTTTATTTAAGTACACATCTGGTGGTTGAACAATGGATGTTAGCTCTCCAGAGTGGACCACTAAGTCTGTTTTACCTTGCCACAAACTCTTTTTCAAACTGCTGCAGAGGTGCACCTTAAACATGTCCCACACAAGCATCAACTTTGGTTCTTAACAGCATGCCAGGGCACATATTCCACACTTGGTATATCCGAATGTTAATGTCTTCCTCATCTATCCAGGCTTTTGAGTGAACATGAATAACAATGCCAGCGGGGAATTTTTTCTTTCATAAGGAATGTTTTTTTCCTTTTGAAGATGATGATTAGTTGTAGTTTTGTCCCATCAGCCATGCAAGCAAGAATTACAGTGAAGTTGGTTTTCTCATGGCCTGTATTCTTTAGCAGTACACTTTTAGTGCCAGTGACATCCATGGTTCAGCTTGTTGGCATATTGAAACGTATGGGTGTTTCATCCATATTCCCAATTTGGCTGAGATTGTAATTGTTTTTCTTTCAGAGGTTCAACACGTAGCTCTGGAACTAAGCTATCTTGTCTTTGAGGTTGGCTGGCGCAGAGAGAAAATTCCTTTTTATAAACCGGAAACACTAGGTTGGGTAGCCAGTAAAGTCTTTCAGTCCTTTCTCCGTAGTCCATATCTTGCCTTGCAGTCAGATAATGTTTCTTGTTAAGATTCTGCCAGACTGCCACTGATCGTTGATCCATTTGGCAAGGTATCGTTCTAATTCTGGCCACATGCATTACTTTCTGCAGTCTGCAGACTTCCCGCATGGCATCTTCTTTACGTTGTCGAGATTTTTCACCACAGACATCTAATTTCTCCCATACATTTCACAAACCAGTTTCTCATCGGCACCAAACTGACAGGCTGCAGAACAGTTGTTAGTACCAAAAGCAAAGCTGACCACTCTGGTCTTGAATTTGGCATCATATTTCATTTGTTTTGGTGGCATCCTGAATACCAGTAATTAAATTTGGTTTTCACTAAAATAGCACTGGTAATTAGTGTGACCATACCTCTGATAATTAGTGACATAATTCTCCCTGCAATTAGTGCAGGTAACGCGACTGTGCCTCATGCGTTCACTAAGCTAGCGGTTAGTCGGCAACAATGTTTTGATGTAGCACCTTGTATAAATCAAGGTTTGTTTGGTTTTTTTGTCATTGCTGTTGTTTTTTTAACACAACAATTAAGCTTCAAAACCTGACTCATACGTCGTCGTGAAATATACAACTATTACAAAATTACCGTATTTTGGGATGAAGGTTTTACTTGAGTTGTCCTGTATTTAATGTGTATAGCTGGTCCTGTTAAGCTTTCCTGACACGTCTCAATAAAATAATGTGTTTTCAGTTGTTTATAATATTGCCAAGATGTTAACGGTATGGGCTGAAATATTTTTTTTCAAGAAATTCAGTAAGAATGTTTTTAGCTATTTTGAAGAACAAAGTAGACTGTTAATAAAAATAAATAATAAAAAAAAATCATGAGACTTCTGTTGAGTGGCATTACCTTCTCGTGTTTGAAGTAGAACTTGAAATTAGGTAAGGGAGAAAGCCCTGTGTTAGGGATGTTTTTGCTAATCCCCTAAAAGTCCACTTAAATTTTACAAAGTAAGTCTTTGGAAGATTATAGCTTTCATATGCTCAGTAGAAATACCTTCTATTTTTAACAATTAACCTCCACAAATTTCTTCCTTTTGGAGTATGTTCTATTCCCTTAATACTCTTAGTATTGACAAAACTGCATCGGTACCTTAGCATAATTCCCTCCAGGTTGGGGCTATAGGGGTAAATTTGAACTTTCTCAGTAATGATAGCTCTAGTCTAGGTTGGGACTTAATCCTTCTGTTGGCTCTGAGGCAAGGTGGAGGAAGACGTTACTTGAACTTGAATGTCGAAGGGAGTACAGCCAGAATAGGAGGCGGAAGAGAAAGAAGTAGTTTGAGAGAACAGAGAGAAATTGTGACATGGTAGAAGACTAGGACAAGGAGTGGTGAAAAAGTGAGGAGGGGAAACAGGCCAGTTAATCTCAAAGGTTCCCCAGTAAATTTACACAAGAAGTTTGGAGGGAGGGAGCAATTGGAACTAGGAATCGGGGAGAAGATGGTTTGAGAGAGGAATAAAACTTAGTTTTAGTTTGGCAAACACTGGGAATAATAGGTTAGTGATAAGGAGGATCTGAGACTAGGTATGGCATTTGGATGGGAGAGTGGAAGGTGGTTGATGGGTATAAGGTGGAGAGGGATTAGATTCAGAGGCAAGAGAGTTCTGGGATTGGTTGGATAAGACTTGAGCTGTGTTAGTAAAGGTGGGGGATGGACCAGGGGCAGTTTAAAATGGAACAGGGAGGAAGGGGGCAGAATTTTGCAGGGAACAGGCAAAGGCACTAGGTTTACCTTTTTTTTCCTGCTGTAGACAAATCTTGGTGAGATTCAAAGTATATCTTGCATCCCTATCTGTACTGCTACCATCAATTACTGTTAGTTCTGTTCTTGAAACTCCTTTCACCTGGTGTTAGTGCTATGATCCTGGGCCTTGGTAATTTCAAGGCTGGTGTTTGAGGCAAGGTCGCTGAGTAACAATGTAAAAAGTCTTAACTAGTTATGAGCATTAGAGTAGGCTACTTCTGCAGAGATAATGGCTAGTGTCACTTGCATGATAGTGTAATGGATAATGGATAGTGTCACTTATATGACTTCTCGCCTTGCCGACAGGCATCCACAGTGGCATATAGTGTGCTTTTTATAACAGAGTAAGTTGTCTGTAACGAAAGACAAACATATTATATGTTCTTCTTTCTGTCTTGGTGTTAAGGAGAGTCCAATTTTATATGCAAAAGATTTATTAGTTGCATGTATTGCACCACTGTTTGAAATTCTCTTGCTAAATAACTTTTATTTTCTGCAGGCAAAAGTTGCCATTAGGGAGCTGCTACCCAATGGGCTGAGAGAATCGATCAGCAAAGTACGTTCAAGTGTTGCCTATGCAGTTTCAGCTATAGCCCATTGGGACTGGCCTGAAGCCTGGCCAGAGCTGTTCAATCTGTTGATGGAAATGCTGGTTAGTGGGGATGTGAATGCAGTCCATGGAGCTATGAGAGTGCTTACAGGTATGTGACACTTGGGTAGTTATCTTGGTTTTCCCGTGGCTTTATTTGTTCAATTTCCTGTTCCCTGAGATGGCAAGTTCCAGGTTGATCTATCTCTGCACTGCAAGAATTGAAGCCTGGATCTAAGTTGCTAAGTTTCCTTGCTTGAATGGGTATCATTAAAGCAGAGGACATGTATTGGTCACATGCTACCTGTGCTGTAAGTTAAGGTTGGTAAGGATCTTCCATTATAATACCCTGTTTTCACATACTGTAACTTATAGCCTGGTATTTCTTCTACTTGTTCTTGGCCAACAGATGGGATTCTTCTTAATATAGATGAAAAGTTTTGTTTTAAAATTGCTTAGCAGAAAGACGGCACTTGCTAGCTCAGTGGTTTTCTATAAAGAAACTTTTTTCTCACAAGTCTTAAAATTTCAAACTGTAACTAAGGCATGAACTTTTATCTACAAATAACTACAAACTAGAAAATGTTCCGTTCTAATTTCCTACCAGGCATGAATATGGGCGGGTGGGGAACATTGCACACACAAAATACAATTTTTGAAAAACCCCTCTACTAGCTCTAGAAAGTGAAAATCCAGTATCAAAAAAGACAAAAATAATCCCAAACACTTCTTGGTTATTATTCTTCTGGTGTGTTGAATTTTACCCAGAGGGAAAACAATGCTGAGGTCAGAATCTTGCATATAAAGTGACTGCTTACATGTGACCATTTACCAAACAGACCGTCAACATCTGAAGCATGGTAGCTGTCAGTATTGTCAGTGGGCTACAGTGGTCTAGTCGAAAAATGACCAACTATCATTCTTTCACTGTGTTGTCTATAATTAACCAATAATAAACATCTCTGTGGTTAGAACTTAACTGGATTGGAATGAGAACCGGGAGCATACTTAAGTGTATAGGAAATCTTCTTGTGTGTTTGCTATTCCTAGAGTTTACCCGGGAAGTGACAGACACACAGATGCCACTCGTCGCTCCTGTTATTCTTCCTGAAATGTATAAAATTTTCACAATGGCAGAGGTATGGAAAAAGACCCCTTTGTTTTCACTTTGCCAGTGTGCTTCCTGGTATAATGTGTTGTAGGCTGAGGACTCTGTCCACTACTCTGAGCCCAAGAATGTTGTAGGTGTAGCTAGAAATTATATGTGAAAGTGTGCTGAATGTGTCAAGAGGACTTCTCAGAGAAGCAACAAATGGATTGCGTGGGGTATTTGCACTTCCTTTCTATTTTTCTCTTGTATAAAAGATTCCAAGTTCATTTGCCAATAATAAGTAATTTGCCAGGGCCTTGCTTCCAAATTCACACTTTGCTATAAGAAGACCTAGTTACTGAATTGTGCTAAATTGACTAGAGCATGTTTCATGCTTCTCTTGATATCAATATTTCTCTTGTCATACTTGAAGCGTATTATATGTTTCCTTCTAGGTTTATGGTATTCGCACAAGGTCACGTGCAGTGGAGATCTTCACCACATGTGCCCATATGATCTGTAACATGGAAGAGCTAGAGAAAGTAAGAGCTGAATTTGATGTTTGTGAATTCAGTGTGTATGTTATAGGAAATGATTTTCTGAGCAAATGTAAAACAGATGCGATTGGAAACAGGAAATTTAGATTCAGCCCTGCTATTCTCGGGAGGAAGCACTGTATTGTCTGTTTATTTTGGCTGTCAGTTATGAAGTAAACTGCACCTCAGACCCTCCCTGGTCTCTTGGTCCCTCCAAGGTCTCAGGCAGTCATCTGGCCAAGTGGACTCATGGAGTTGCCTCTCTTTTGAAATGCAAAATTTAACTCTTGGCTATGGAGTCCTGATAAGTCTCTATAAACAGACAGGTTCTGGTGTCTGAAATATTTATAATTATCCCTGAAAATATCAAGGGAAACTATAATTTCCCTTGATATATACCTGTATTAATTATTTCCCTCTTTTTTTTTTTTTTAGTTTAGAGCCTATAATTTTGCTTTGCTTGCCACTGTTCAGAACACAGCTTTGACTTTAGGAGAACAAGCTTTTAAATACCGTATTTACTTGCATACCACACACCTTTTCCCAAAAAATTCAGCCCTTCAAAATTGGGGAGGGTACCTTAAGTAGAGAATCAGGATGAAATAGTGCAAGAAGACACTGACTTTTTTTTGGCTGTAGAGCCACTGAACTGGTGGAGGGTGCATGGGCTGCTGCCTGCAGTCTGTAGTATCTTGGTGAGGCTTGTGGTATGGAAACAACACTTTCTTATTTACAGGAATTTATATAAAGAACTATTTACAGCAAAGAAGTAACAGTCTTACTACTGCCCTTGCAAAGGTCTGGGGCCTAGCCTTTTTGCTGTCCTGCCACACCAGGAAGTCCCTGCTGCCTAACCCAGGCTGTCTCATGGGATGCTACACTTCCTGAACACTCTGTTTCCAGGAGGACTTACTCTGTCACACAGGCGTCCATGACTGGAAAAAATCTTTTTTCCTACATTCTGCCTTCCAAAAACAAGGTGTGTATTTTTATTTGGGGGCGTGTGGTATGCGGGAAAATACGGTATTCACCAGATGACTGAGCCCTGTAATTTTTAGGCTATCTCTTATTAGTAAGACAGCAATAATTAACTGGGTAAGTTGCAGTAGCTTTTAGACTTTGAGAAACCCATCAGTTTGACAGTTGGCGTGAAGGATTGCTCAAAAAATGTACTTAAACTGGAGACTGCATGGACTTTGCAGTGCACTGTCATTTGTCACCAGCTTTTCTTTGCGGGGGGGCGGGCAGGGTGCAGAACAGTATGGTTTGCTTTGCTGTCTTGGAGATTCAGGGTATGTATAGGCATTCAGTTTAGGTGCCAAACATTTCCAGTGCCATAAATGTGGTGAGAAGGGGGCTGTGCAAGCATTCCAGCTTCTGTGATGAGGGCTGCTCCTTGATTTTCACTGCCCCAAAGGAAATGGTCATTGACAGTCTGCCCCCCTGTAAGCTCTGGAAGTTGAAAAGCTGTTGGTGATCAGATAGCAGTTGCTAAAAAGCAGCAGCTGTCAAAGACAGCCCCTCCCCTATACGGTGATGATAGGGCTCAGGAAAACACCTGACCCCTCTCTCCTGGGGAGACCCCAGATGTTTGAAGCCATGGGGTTGCCCTGCCATCCCCATTTCTGCCACTTTACTTTCAAAGATCTGGAGGGACCCCTGTTTAAGAGGTAAGGGACATTGGTGCAGCCATCTGAACTGTCCCAGGACTCTCTGGGAGCATTTGTGGTGAAAGGAATTGGTGCTGCTGCTTGAACAGTATTGGTACTATTCGGCTGCATCAGTGTTGTCCCAGCAGAGGTCCCTGACAGTTCACTGCTGGACAGGCCACGAGGGAGCCAGTTATCTCCCTTCCTCCTCCTCTCTTGGAGTGAGTGCGGGGAGAAGGAGGAAGACTCGGCCTTGAAAGAAGCAAGCATGCATTACAGGTGGTCTGAGAGAACTTCTTTCTCTTGAAGTTGCTGGTTTAAAGAGCTATATTTTTTTCTTTTTTTAAGGAACAGGTAGTTTTTATTCTGCAGAAAACCCCTTGAAGGCCTATATGCTATCTTATATTGTGCCAGAAAAAAAGGCATTTTTTTTCCTTGGCGCACATGTACCTGTCCATGGTCTCACCTTTGTAAAGCTTCATGGGAGGTATGTAAACTTACTAATTATTGCATCTGGAATTCACTTGTTCTTCTGTTGATTATGACTAGGGTGCAGCCAAAGTGTTGATTTTTCCTGTGGTTCAGCAGTTCACAGAGGCCTTTGTTCAGGCTCTGCAGATGCCTGATGGGCCTACATCAGACAGTGGATTCAAGATGGAGGTCTTAAAGGTAAGCTGGGTAAGAGTGTTAGACTACAGAAATGTTTATCCACAATCTTTTGACAGTCATAATCTTATGGTAGAAAACAAGAAAACCCTTGAGCTGATTGCCCCCTCTGTCATCTCGTGTTATGTGGGATGTTGGAAGTTGTAACACTGCATCTTACAACATTAACATGAAATGTTGTGTCTGATTGAATTGAAAATACCTGTGACAAAAATGTTATTCTCTGACTCTTGTAAGGAGTATGCATGTGGGGTTGCTTGTCCCAGCTTTTTGATGCTTGATAGGTGGCATATTAATTTTCACTGACCATAGCTGTTTATGAAGATTCATACCACTTTGATCAAAAACATTTGGCAGTGTTACAGACAGGGCCCTGTGCATGCTGTGATTACAGTGATGTGGTATTTACCTTTGTCCACGTAATCGTGGTACAAAATTCTCTAGGTTTTTTTTTAAATTCTATGGTGTGAACTAGGAAAAGGTACACACAAGGTATTTGTAAACAGCCTAGTACAGTAAGAGCTACCTTTCTCACTTTTTTTTTTTTAATCTTTATGTAAAGGTTTTCCAAAGTGCCATAAAACTTCTGTAGTTTGGGGTTGGCCATATTGTTTGATCTCCCTTCCCTGTCAGGACCTTCCTACACCTTTTATTATTTAATTGTTAAGTTACAGAAATACTTAAAGGCTACAGCTGGGGTTTGTGGCCTATTCTAGATTCTCTGCCAAGGAGGAGTTTAGACAGATGCCACTCTTCCCTGTAGCCAAGCAAATGAGGATTAAAGAGTAAGAATAGAAATCAAGTTCTCTCACAACAGATGGAAGAAAATGGAAGTTCAGGTTGGGTTGCGTAGAGTAGCTTTCTCAACCTATGACTTTGACCCAAAAGTAGGTTGCAAAAATATGTGAAAGGGTTGTGAACAGACTTGAAAAATGAATCAACAAACTTTTAAAAGTTGATCCTTCTTTTAAAGGAGAAAAAAAGTGCGGAAACTATGGCTTTTCCCTTGCAGGCTGTCAGTTCTAGCCTGCAAGGGGCTGCCTGGGACTGCTTGGGGGGGCTCCCATGCGCCACACCCTTGCCCCTCGCACTTGCCCCTTGCCCCACACGCTGGGGGGCTTCGGCTTGGGGGCAGGGGGAAGCAGGTTGAGAGCAAGGGGCGCTGGGTTGAGACTGGCTGTCGATGTTTACAAATGGGTTCTGATACAAAAAAGGTTGAGAACCACTGGCCTAGAGCATAGTGCAGCACTCGGGAATTGGAAAGCTGAAAACCACTGAACCTGGTTCAGATCTGTTGTTTCCTGGGCTTGGGCTGAGGATGTTGAAGGTCAGGGTGCTTAGACATTATGGTCAGTGCTGTGCCCTATCAAGTTGGCTGTCTGGAGAATTAGTGGAGAGAGAAGTTGCTAAAAACAAATTTCAAAGGGCTTTGTCAGTGAGCACTTCAGTCCCTCTGGATTTAGGCTTTCCACAGCATGTTGGCGTGTTCTTGTTGTAGCATTTGATCCCATTCTGCTGTGTACTAAGTATGGGCTTCATTACAGTAAATAGTCAGTGGCTTTCTTCTGCACACCCCACTAGTCTGTCCTAGCATGCTGTTGATCAGTTGCACTTTGGGAAGCAATGGTGACAAATTTGGCATTGTCCTCAAGTAGTGTATGCTGCCAAGGAAGAGAGGAAGCAGAGTAGGATTATAGGGGATTCTGCAGAACATAACTGTTGCACTGATACTCTAGCATTTTGCAGTAGAGAAGTAGGGCTGAAATTTTCATCAATTTAATGAAAATCAAAGCTACCAGAAAAAACCTGAACTGGTATTTAAGTGAATGGACAGTCTTATAATAAATTATTTTCAGTAAGTTAATGAATTGTAACTGGCAATAGTAATTATTCATGACAGGATTGGCAGATCAAATGGCAGGGGAATTGAACGATCTTTCCATTAGACTGAAAGTGACATTAGACTATTTATGTGTAAATTCCTTTTGAGTATCCATGGATAGAAAGTGTAGTTACACAGGATAGGAGTGGTTTAAAAGAAGTTGAATATATTGAGGGGGAGGAGGGAGTACATGTTAAAGAGATGTAAGGCACAGTTTAAAATGTCATCAAACAAAAATAATCCTGCCTCTTTAAAGTTGCCAATCCATGGGCATAAAAAGTTCCCAGAACCAGATAATTTTGTTTGTTCAGGGTCTCAAGATTGATTGTGTTTTCAGCAAGCTGAAACTGCTGGGGGAAGGGGAGGTAAGCTTGACTCACCCCTACAAAAGAGCAAATCTGAATAGAATATTTCTGAGAGAACTGGCAATGTTAAAATAGTTATTTTGACTTTTTAATCTGATACATTGCTTGTATGTTCATTTGTAATTGTTCTTTTGTTTTCCAGGCTGTGACAGCACTAGTGAAGAACTATCCTAAGCACATGGTTTCCTCTATGCAGCAGGTCCTTCCTATTGTTTGGAATACCCTTACGGAAAGTGCAGCCTTATACCCTTTAAAATGTGTGGTGTAAATTAGAATAAAAGAAAGTCCTCGTGGCCTCTCATAATAGGAAGCTACTATATATAGAAATCTTTTATGTAGCTACTCCAGAAATTGGAATGTAGTTAGTTTACCATTGCAGATAAATAAATAAGTAAAAAAACCAATCGATTGCATAGGCCTCTGATAACTTACTCAACTCAAAACAGCTTTTAACTTTTTTAACAAGTTCACAGATTTTAAAAGCCAAAATGAACTGTTTTTCTTCTTCATCTGGCCATCTGTAATACACAGCCATATAACTTTACCCAGTAATTTCAGTATAGGTTATTAGAAACGTAGAAAATAGGGTACCGTTAAAAAAAATACACTTAATTTTGATTTAGAGACTTCATCCAGGAATATCCTTTGGTTATAGACCTAATGTCTGTTCAAGCTGAAAAAGATTTAACTTTTTTTTTTATTTCATTTTTCATCCATCATATCTTGCCATGTTGCTTGCTCAGTTAAGGAGGCCCATCCAGTGGGTAGTTCTCCTGCTGATGCTTCTTAATCTCCTCTTGGATAAACTAAATTGATTGACCCGCTTTAGCCATTCACTTTAAAGCCATTTCTCCAGACTAAAAGTCATCTCATGGCTCTTTTCCAAGCTTTCTCTTTCTTCAGTGAGAACCAATGGGCATCCAAAAATTGGCAGTCTGGTCCTTTGGGGAGGTACAGTACCTTTTGACAGACTACAGTATCTTAGGTGTCGGTGTTGTGTTCCTGGTCTTACATTTCAAAATCTTGGTGCTGTACATTGGACAGTCTGGGCAGTTTAAGAGCGTGGGAGCATATTGTGTATGTAACCTAATTCTAGGGCAGATGGAACTTGAATGAGTGCAAATAAATTTATATGGTATTGCATACTCCTAACTTTTTGATGTTAATTATAAATGGATTAATATATTCTGAGGGATTGAAGCATAGTTGATAGTATCCTATGGAATTTGGCTGTAAACAGGTAGCGTAATTGGTGATGGTCTTTCACACTTAGTTCAGGCAGCTCGTGGTCTTCTGTGGCTCTTGCTTGCAACTTGGAGTGGGGTGGGAAAACAAATTGCAAAGGCTTCAGGTTAAGAGCAGATTTGTTTCTAACTGGAAGCAGCCTTCTAGAAATGTGCAAACCAAACTTTTGATCTTGTTTACTTAACTTACTCTACCTATGTGAGAACAGAAGTAAATTACACAGAAGAAGTAGAGGACCCTGTAGATTCTGATGGTAAGTATGAGTTGCACTACACTTACCTGTTTTAAAGATGGATAGCAGGGAAATTTATCAAAACAAATCCTGCTGTCAAAACAGTGACCTAGATGTGCTAACAGTTCATGAAAACTTGCAAAGTTTTCCAGCATTGTACTATAATGCATTGATGTAGTGCACATGCTACTTCATAGATACACCAGGGTGTGTTTTCTTGGTCATAAATGAATTGTGGCTGGAAATCAAATTATTTTTAAACATCAGAGGAGTGACATTCTGGAGCAACATTCTAGTAAGAGTAGCAGAGGGAAAAAACCCCCTAATGAATTCTAAGATGGATCGTGATAAGTTTATGAATGAGTATATGATATTGTAGCTTACAATAACATACAGTAAACTGTAGTGGTTAAGGAGGCCTCTACCTGTCCAGTAATCCTTACTGTAGTTGAAGATTTAAATTAAGGAAGCCACTGTCTTAGGAAGACACTCTAGTTAGGTTTTTTTAATGTATTTAAAAAAGAAAATCTGGCACTGTTTCTTTTTTGTTACTAATGACATAATTAGCTCAAGGGACCTCTGTCCTTTCAGCTACGAAAAAGGCAGGACTTCTGTTAAAACCAAGTGTTGGCCTTTAATAATTTCCAGGGATTGCAATTTAGTGTAAAGGGGAAATGGGTTCTTTCTGGGTTTTCTCTGCAGTAGATCCAGTTCTTTCTAGTCTAGGAATGAAACTAGAGCTAATCCTGATTGATATAATAATGGTTTATAACTGCATTTGCAAGCCATTTGTGCTCTGTAACTCCGCATTTTCAGGTCTGAATCTTTTCTGTTGTTCTTTGTTCAGGTGAAGTATTGGGCTTTGAAAACCTTGTGTTCAGCATATTTGAATTTGTTCATGCCTTGTTGGAAAACCACAAATTTAAAAGCACAGTGAAAAAAGCTCTGCCTGAGCTGATCTACTACATCATTCTCTACATGCAAATTACAGAGGAGCAGGTGAGTACAGTTGTATAACATTGTGTAGGAAGTAAATTCAGTAAAGAAGGGAAGAGATGCCAAATTTTAAAACAAGCAGCTAATGCTCTAGAAAATATTTGAGTGGCAGGGAGCCATGCTACTAATTTAAATGGCCTCATCCCTTTCTTAAAATTGTGTGTTAGGAGTTAGGAAAATTGAGAGAAAGTAGTAATATTCTCACATGCTTTGGGATAATGTTGGTAAGTGATGAAGGCATGTCATCAAATTATCTTTTCATAGGTAAGATCATAGAATGTGCTGAGAGAAGTTCATAGTGTTTCTGCAGGAATGGAGGTAGAAGTTGTAATGGAAGGGATAGACTTTTGGCCTCTTTTGTTCTTTTTTTTGTATTCTTTTGTGGTGGTGTCCTTGAGCCCTTTCTTGTGTGTTTGGGTTTTTTTTTCCCATACTAGTAGTGTGTGCTAAGCCTAGGAAAAGGTTTGATGTATTTGCTGCTTGTATGTTCAGTGAGTTGGAGGCAGATACTCAATATTTGAAGGCAAAGTGCATTCTACAGCACGCTATTTGTTTACCAGATGCTCACGGGGCTTATGAATGTTGTTAGACACCTTGGACCTATCATTGGTACAGTGATAAGAATGCAGGCCTCAGCATTTATCAGGGTTTAGAGCATTTTAATTCATATATTTTTCTCTGGGGACATCAGAAGATTTTTCAAGGATGTTTGTGCATATGGGAATATATGGTTCTAAGCCAGGAGTAGGCAAAGTCTGGCCCACGGGCCAGATCAGGCCCATGGTAGACTCCCATTTCCCAGTAGCCTCTGCAGTGGCAGCTCCTTCTGGCTGCAACTGCTGGACTCAGCCCCGCTGCTGGGGGTGGGACCCATGCAGGCAGGGCATGTGTCCCGGCAGCTGGCATGGAGCTGTGGCCAGGATCGAGACAGGCAGGGCTGGGGTGACCCTGGGTTTTTGAGGGGGCCAGGGCTGGGGCAGAACCATAATCCGTTACCCACATGCCCATGTGATGAATGTAGATTCTGTGGGCAGAGATGTGCAAAGCGCAGATCATGGCTCTGCCGTGGCCCCAGGCTGTCATCAACCCAGGACCCTGCCCCTAGAGGACCTCTGCTCAGCTGTGTGCCCTGCCTGTGCGGCTCCTGCCCAGTCGGTCTCCATGGAGACTGGTTGGGAACCACACAGGTAGGAGCTGCTGGGAAGTGAAGTCTGGCTGCTGGCCAGATCCACTATTTTGCCCACCCCTGTTCTAAACTAATGATTGAATAAATTAATGAGCACTTGCAATTGCAGTGAAACACCTATCAGAAATTCAAGAGGGTGTTCAGAGTCAGCTAAAATACTGTTCTGATCTCCTGTCTTAAATTAGTAGAACATGCTCTTGACTTTAGTCATATCCTGACTTACGGATTGCAGCCTTTTAGATATTATTTCTAACTGAAATGCCGCTAAATAAATATTAGTACATACTGACACCTGAACACTGAACCCATTTCAGAGGAAAAGTGGTTGAACCTTCCTGGATATTTAATCCAACAGTTCAGCTATGTGCTTTGAATAATCATGAGAGTAGGCAAAGGATGTTGTTGTTTCTCAGCCATAGCATGTTACTGAACTGTTGTTCTTTCCACACCCCCTTTTTTTTTTTTTTC